AAAAAAGAAAAAAAAAAGAAAAGAAAAATAAGGTAGGGGGTCCTGTCCTGTCATATTTCAAGGAGTATTATAAGGCTACACTAAGACAATCTTTTATTGACCCCAGAATATCTGATAGTAGATCAGTAGAACAGGACAGAGGGCAAAGAAATACTCATATATATGAATATTACATATATAACACTGGTGGACTTACAGACTAGTGAAGAAAGAATGTACCATTTAATAAATGGTGCTAGCGACTTTTATCTAGCATAGGAAAAACTTGTTGAATCTTAAATGAATCTTAAATTAAATACCCACTACTCTGTAAACCCATAGACAAAAATATGTTTAAATTTGCCTTCTTTATATTTAAAAGCATTCTCTAAAGGATCCTTAAACTTAAATGATCATGCTGGAATCCTTAACAAAATGTTAGGAAACTGGATCCAGCAGCAGGTAAAAAAGGAGTATATACTACAACTAAAAGTGGTTTATCTCAGAAATACTAGGTTGGTTTAACATCCTAAAATGCACCCTGTTAATAGAGTAAAGGACAATAACCACATGGTCATTTCAATAGACACAGAAAAAGGATTTGATTAAATCCAGTACTTTTTCATAATAAACTTAGTCAACAGTCTAGGAATAGAATTGAACTTCAACCTGATAAAGGACATCTATAAAAAAAATCTACAACTACCATTATACTTAATAGTGAAAGACTGAATTGTTTCTGCTTAAGATCGGGAACAAATTAAGAATGTTGGCCCTCATCACATCTATTCAACATTGTACTTTACATTCTATCTAGTTGATTTAAATAAGAAAATAATTTAAAGATAGACAGATTGGAAAGGAAGAAATAAAACTCTTTTTTGGCAGATGACATGGTCTAGTATGTGAAAGCATCCTTAAGAATATACACAGACAAAATTATTAGAATTAACAAATGAGTTCAACAGGTTTTCAGGATATAAGATCTATATACAAAAATCATTCATATTTCCAAATACTAGCAATGAACAATCTGAAAACAGTTTCATTCAACAGAGGAAGTATAAGGCCTGTATACTGGAAACTACAAAACATTGCTGAAAGATACACTATGGAGAGATGTACGATGTTCATAGATTGGAAGACTCAGTACTGTTAAGATTGTCTCTCCAAACTGATTTATAGATTATTGAAATCTTTATCAAAATCCTAGAAAACTGTTTTGAAGAAATTGACATGTAGATTCTCAAATTTGAATAGGGAAATTCAAAGACTTATAATAGCCAAAACAATTTTGGAAAAGAATAATAAAGCTTGAAGACTTGTACTACTTGACATCGAAACCTGCTATAAGGCTACAGTAATCAAAACAGTGTAGTTGGCCTTAGGGTCAGTGGCACAGATTAGGAAGTATAAAAATAAACTCTTAGAGTCAATTGACTTTCTGAAAAGATATCAAGTCAAATCAATGGAGTAATGGATAGTCTTTTCTACACATGGTACTTGAACTCTTACTTCACACCATACATAAAAATTAATTCAAAGTGAATTATAGAAGAATTAAAACTATTAAAATTTTAGAAGACAACATAGGAGAAACTTTGTTATTTGAAGATAGACAAAAATTTCTTCAATATGACAGCAAAAACATGATCCATAACAAAAAAAATCAATAAATGGGACTTCAATCAAAGTAAAACCTTTTGCTCTTCAAAAGACAGCATTAACAAAATTTTAAGAAACCCACAGACTTGGAAAAAATATTTGTAAATCATACATTTGAAAAAGTACTCCAATTCAGAACATGAAGAGAACTCTTACAACTGAATAATGAGAAAACACCCACTTTCCTCAAAAAATGGGCAACAAATTAAACAGTTCAACAAAGAAGATTTATAAATGACAACACATGAAAACATGCTCGGCATCATTAGTTGTTAGGGAAATGAAAATTAAAATCATGGTCACGCCTATTAGAATGGGTGAGATTTTAAAAAATCAACACCACCAGGTATCGACAAAGAACCTGGAACTCTGGTACATCATTGGTGGGAATATAAAAAGGTACAACCACTTTGGAACTAGTTTGGCACTTCCTTAAGAAGTTGAACATTATCATATGGCTCAGCAAGTCCACCCATAGGAATTTATCCAAGAGAAATGAAATTATATGCCCATGTAAAGACGTGAATGTTCGCAGCTGCATTATTCTAACAGTCCCAAATTGCTAGCAACCCATGTCTAAAAACTGTCAGTGCATAAACAAATTGTGGTATATGTATACAGTAGGATACTTCTATGCAATAAAAGGGACAGAACTACCAAGATATGGAACAACATTAGTCACTTAGTTACTTAATGAAGGCAATACCTTGTGCTTTTCTTTTGCCTTAATTTTGATTAAATTTAAGACAAAAGAGCAAAGGAGTGACCTGGCTTTGGAGAAGATTGTGGTAAATTCAACAGGGACATGCCTTTTAGAGATAATACTAAGCTTTAGCTGATTGTTGCCAGGAAGGAACATGGGCCCTGTACCACCAGGTTAAGCCACCTTAAAAGAGAAGTAGGAAATCTGGAATTTCATGTGAGATTATGTGAAATTTAATTGTTAACAACTGTTGTTGTTTTTTTTTTTAAAAGTAAGGCACTGTTTGAGCCAAACAAAAGTATCGTATCTGTATGGTGTCTGTTTGATGGAAAATACCTGAGAATTTCAATCCAGGTAGTAACATGATCAGATTTGGCAAGAGGTGTTTATAGTCGTAGTTGACAGTGATTACATGATCTTTGCATACCAGATATTGAGTTGAAGATGAACATACGTTGTCTCATTTAATCTTCACAAGTATTTTCATGAAGATTAAATAACTGGCTTGAGGTTATTTGGGTTATAAATGTGGTGCCTCTTTTTTAACCACAATGCTGTTCTATAGAACAGCAATTTCAACTCTTCTGACCTTTCCTTGGAGGACTTCTTTTAGTTTTTGGGTTTAAATCAGTGTCTTTCAGTTCTCTCCTCTGAATAATACAGTTTTCCCCACATTAAAGAAACCCAGACCTCAAAATCTGACGTAATAGTTTAATAAGAGTAAGTGAAGATAACAATAGCTCTTAATTACTTTGGAGGGAGAGTCGTTAAGAAAAAACAATTTGAAAGAATTCCATAAATATTAAAATTGATAATATTTAAAGTTGAATATAGAAGTTATATATAAAAATGTCTGTTTTCAGGATCTTTTGAAGAAACTGTTCCTGCAAGGATGCTGAAGAATTTTTATCCAGGAGTAGCAGAGCACAAAGATATTTCCAAGCTGATCCTCCTCCTCTCCTCCTCTGTGAATTCCCTGAGAAAGATGGCTCATGAGGCTTTGCAGGACTTTCAAAAATACAAGACACTCTGGATGGAAGACCGAGATGCGAAAGTGAAGGTGTGTTTCTGCTACTTGTGATATAGTTTGGGCTTGAACTGTAATATCTAAAGGTGCAGGAGGACCAGGGAAATACCAGTGATAATGACAGGAACTCATGAGCTGAGTCAAGAACCTACAAATGCCAAGCACCTAACATATTCTGTCCTATCGTGCGTAATTCTCACATTGACATTCTGAAGCAATCGGTAATAATGAGGGTCAGGCAGATTTCATTTTCTCAAACAACTGAGTACCACTTAGGTTCCAGAGATGTCCAGAGGCCAGGTATTCAGGGGCATGTCACACTTACATAGACTCAGCTGTATCTTGGATTATAGACAAGGGAACTTTAGAGCTGTGAGTCACCATTCATGATAGACAATGAAATCCCCTTTCATAGCCTCATCTTCCAGTACTACTAGTTCATCCTTTTCTTTTCTGAGCCACTGGCCCAATAGCACACATAAGTGGAAAAGTATAAGCAAATGTAATCTTCTAATTTAACTATTATAAGTGTGAGACATACTGTCAAAAAGCTAAAGAACCCATTGTTTCCTTACTACAGGAATTTTTGGCTAACAACCCTTCTCTGACTGAAATCAGATCAGAAATTCTACACTTTGCTACTTTTGAGCAGGAGATTGATGAATTGAAGCCTATTATTGTTGTAGGAGCACTTGAATTGCATACAGGTATTTAAAAAATATTATGTAAAGTATCTGTATTTTCACATGAAGTGTTACTTTACTTAGAACATAGTTATTAAGCTAACTTTGTATGATATTATAAATATTAAATATTCTGGGCCACCAATATCATTCATATCTATGTTACCTATATATGTATATATATAATCTATGTTAAATAATATGTTATTATATATTGTTCGTATATAATATTACACCAAAGTGGCCTAATATACTTAATATGCTGCAGTCAGACAACTAAAACGGCAGGTGAAACTCTCTTCAGGTTACTGTGAGAAGGAAGTTGTATACATGAGATAGGAGTCCATCAATTTGAGGTTTCCTGAGAAGTTAATCCATTTGGGATTAGCGTATCCATGGATGAAGTAAAAAGCACAAGCTGCCTTTATTAATTACTCTAGTAGGGGAGAGCTATGCTGGTCAAGCACAGTGTTCCAAGCAGAGCAGACTACCGGTCGCATAGAGAGAGTCTAGGCAGCAGGGAGTACAAGGACTGTGGAAGTAGACAGGTTAACCTCATCTGTAGAAGGATGCTCACTCAGATGAGACTGTTCTTGATTGCCTGGCACTCAGAGGTGGACTTACTGAATATGTCCCTCCTGATTGGCTGGCATTCAGAAGGGAGGGCTGACCCTGAAAGGCTTGCAAAAACATTAACTGAGGTAAGTTGTTCTATGTTTTGGGGTTTGAAACTGGTTGTGGTGGCTACTTATTGCCATGGTTGCAGAGGTACAATCAGTCTTGTCCTAAGTTTTTTATTCTCAGAAAATTCTCAGAAAATTCTAAGAAAATTTTATTCTCAGATGTTTGAAAGGCCTATTATTTTACATCAACTCTCTACCTTAAATAAACTTTCAGATCTACCCTCAAGTAGTCAGTATAATTGTGGCCCTCAAACTTGACTATCAAGGTTACTTGACTTCTTTGACTTCCATCTCTTTTGCTGGGGGTAATGACAGTGCCCACCTCATGAGCTACTTTATATAAGATGCCTAGCATAGTACCTGGCAAATAGTTGATGTTCAATAAATATTACATACATTATTATATCTACCAAGAGCTATTTATTTTGGGGGGAGAATCACAAGTACTTGAAGGGATTATTTAGCTAGAAATCAGGGTCAATAATTAATAAGAACTGTAGATTTTGGAAACCATACTTTGCCTATTATTATTACTATTGCTTAAATTTCCTATTCTTTCCTCATAATGGTTAGCACTATGATTCTAATACTAAAATCAACTCTAGCACATGTGAGAGTTGGGTGCGTGCTTAATTTTAGAGAGAAAAAACTAAAAAATGGAATAGGTGACAACAGTTATGAAGAAAAGGGAAGGTGGGCTGAATCTTTGGGGCCTGAGGAAAAGGAGAAAAGAAGCCCATGAGGTGTGGACCTTAATGAGATGGTATCTCAGCCTCAGGCTATGTAGTGTTCTCAGCTCCTTCTTTCTCTCTGTTTAACTGTTGAGAGTTGGGAAGGGAGCAATCATGTTTCAAGCTTGACAGGACTGGGGAGTGTAGGGGTACTGAGAAAAGAGGAATGGATAAAGATTGATAAGGTAGAGTTGACTAGTTAGAACTGTTTTATTTTCAAGGACCAGAAACCTATTTGAGCTACATTAAAGGGGGAAAAGATATATCCCAGAATCTGTGATGCAGCTGGGCCTTAGGAATAGACCAAAACCAGGGACTGTATAGAAGCTGAGGAGATCCTTTCTCTCTGCCTCTCATTTGTGCTTCCCTGTGTGCATGGCTTCTCTGCTCCCCAGGCCACATAGCTCCCCGTCAAGTCTCATTCCAACCTCTCAAGAAGGAATTGTGATTGGTCCATGAAAGGTTAGGATTGACTAGGATAATCATCAGCTAGGCCCACATTCAGGGTCAGTTTTTATATATTCTCTAACCATGTGGATGAGGTAGGGAATGGAATAACAGGAAAACTGGATCTGGTTTGGCAGACGAAAAATATATTATTCTCCATGGTGTGGGTTACCTAGAAGAAAATGGTGGAATGAGTAAGAGCTGTTCTATGGGATGTCCAGAAATAGAGCAAGTGGTGCTAGAATGAATTTCTGGAAATCTTCTCCATAGACTTCAGCATCCTTCTCATGCACAGCTTTAACATACTGTATGGGGAGAGGAAGTAAGTCTTCAAAAATCTACTAACCTTACAGCACATTTAATTCTGACTAAGTACATTTCAAGCAATCAATAGCCACATGTGGTCAGTGACTATCAAATAAAATGGTATATTTATAGATGCTCAGATTACACATAAAATGAAGAGTTTCAGAATGTCAGTTATTTTCTATTTTGATCTTTTCTTGTCTTCACCAGAACCAATGAAGTTGGCCTTATCCATTGAGGCTAAGGCATGGAAGATGTTACTCTGTCGATATTTGAATGAAGAATACAAAAAGAAAATGTCAGACATGATAGCATTTATCAGTGAATATTTGAAAAAGTTATCTAGACCTATTCGTGATTTAGATGATGTCAGGTTTGCAATGGAAGCCTTGTCTTGTATCCGTGATAATGAAATTCAAATGGACATGACTTTGGGACCAATTGAAGTAAGAAATGATTCCACTTTTCTTTCTTGAAGTGCTATTTTTAAAAAAAATAGAGACACACACACACAAAATAGATTCTGTTAACATATTTCTTTATCTATTTTATGGCATAGTCTTCCTATTACTACTCCTTTTCAATGTTTATATCCTTGAGGGGATTTTGATAATAATCAACAGTGAACAGTATACAAAGGAATATTAATGTATTAGTGCTGTCTTGACAGTGTTCAGCTTTTTATGCTGCACATTGTACAGAAAAGAATGATTGTATTGTCTTATGTCAATCCCAACATGTTAAGCAATTTCTCCAAATATCTTTGACTTTCCTTAGAAACCAGTTATAGGTCTCAACTTGTGCCCAGTGGCATATCATGAGCAGCATGATAGGAGCTGTCCACTTAGTAGTGGACACAGTTTACTCAGTAGTAAACTGCTGGAGCTTAGATCAACAAGAGATGCTTTTAGGGAAGAATACTGTATTTGTTTCCTATTGCTGTGGTAACAAATTAACCATAGTCTTAATGGCTTAAAACAACGTATAAAAGCTTCCATGGCCTTTAAGTTCTAGAGACCAGAAGTCTAAAAATGGATTTTATGTGGCTAAAATCAAGATGTCAGCAGGGCTGTGTTCCTTTTGGAGGCTCAGAGAAGAATCCACTCCTTTCCTTTTCCTGCTTCTAAGGCTTCCTGTATCCATTCATGGCTCCCCTTCAGCAATGACATCACTCCTACCCCTGCTTCTGTCATCACTTCTCTTGCTCTGACTCTCCTACCTCCCTCTTTCCCTTTTCTGGACCTTTGTGATTACTTTGGCCCTACTCAGTTAATCCAGGATAATCTCCCCATCTCAAATTCTTTAATCACATCTGCAAAGTCCCCTTTTGTCATATAATGTAACATAGTCACAGGTTCTGGAGAAGAGGATGTGGACAACATTGGGGAGGCCATTATTTTGTCTACCACAAGTATTTTATGACATTTAGAATTTCTGGCTCATGGTGATAATGAGGAGCTGATTGTTTAATTCATTTCATTACTGTTTATAAATTCTCTACACAGTGCACTCCCTTATTCCCTGCAATACCTGGGGAATTGACACTCTCACTGCTTCTGTTTGGTACCTGGTGCTCAAAACTGAGCATTGCTCTCCTGAACCCATTTAGAGTTTATAACTCTTTGGTAGCTAATGAACTTGATATCTTTACTACTTCTTTAAATCTTAGTATTTGGGAACTTGGGATGCTGACCACCCATGCCTTTTTTTCCTGACTGCAGAAGCTTGATTCTTCAGCATAAATTCTTTTAGTAAAGCCAATTGCCAATCCATACCTTTGATCATTCAAGTTTCTTTTTTTCAGGGTATCTCCCACAACATCATTTCATTCCATTCCTAATACAGCCAACCCATATTTTAAGAGCATGAGAATATATTTTGTGTGGTGTTGGCACAAGCTCAAGAAGGAAAGAGAGAGACAGAAAATGATTCTAGGGATATTTTATAGGATAATGATCTGCCTCTGTCTCCATGCGAATCACCTAGGTGCTTATTAAATGCATATTTTAGGGCTTAGGGGCCTGGGATCTAGAGACAGTATCTGGTATCACTGAGAATCCAGGGGTGCTTATTATACATGTTTAATTTGGGGGACCCACTCTTCTAGAATATGCTCTCTTCTAAGACTTAGGAATGTGTTTCTAGAAGACATCTAAATCATTTGGCAACTGCTTTCCTTGTGATGTTTCTGAACCCCACCCAACTCCACAGGATGCCTATGCTATTCTAAATGGATTTCAAGTTGAAGTAACCAAAGAAGAATCAGAAGCAGTTGATACCTTGAGATACTCTTTCAACAAATTGCAGGGCAAAGCTGTAAGTACAAATTTCATCTTTATTTTTTATTATGTCACTATCTGCAAAAAAAAAAAAAATTTCATACATTTTAAAACTTAATACCTGTTACCTGAATTGCTTTACTGATATATAATCTGCACACCAAAAAATTTTCCATTTCAAAATATATCAGTTCAAGTATACAAAGTATACAAATCTTGATCTGGGTGATGGTTACATGAGTGCATATACATCAGAATTCATCAAGCTGTTCACCAAGATTTGTGCATTTTATTGTATGTACCTCAAAAAAAGATTTGAAAAACCAAACTATACAATTCAGTGATTTTTAGTATATTTACAGAACTGCACAACCATCATCATCATCCAGTATTAGAATATTTTCATGACTGCAAGAGAAACCCCACACCCATTAGCCATCACTCCTCTTTCCCCCCATCTGCCTAGCCCCTGGCAACCACCATTGTACTTTCTGTCTCTATAAATTTGACTACTTTTGGTACTTCATATAAATAGAATCATACAGTATTTGTCTTTTTGTGACTGGCTTATATCAGTTAGCTTGTCCTCACGTTTCATTCTGTTTGTAGCATGGGTCAGAATTTCCTCCCTTTTCAAGGCTGAACAGCATTCTGCTTCACATGTTGTTTATTCACCCACCCATGGATGGCCACTTGGATTGCTTCCGCATTGGGCTGTTGTGAATAATGCTCGTAATGAATGTGGTCTTTGGAGCCCTGCTTTCAGTTCTTTTGGATGTATACATATACATATATACACACCCAGGAATAGAGGTGCTGGATTTTATACTAATTCTGTTTTTAATTTTTTGAGTACCACCACACTGTTTTCCATAGTGGCTACTCCATTTTGCATTCCCATCAAGGCAGCACAAAGTTTCAAAGTTCTCCACATCCTAGCTATCACTTGTTATTTTGTTTCCTTGGTAGTAGCAACCAAGTCCTACTCACTACTTATCCTAATGAGTGAGGTGATGTCTCATTGTGGTTTTGATTTGCATTTCCTTAATGATATATGATACGGAGTGTCTTTTCATATGCTTTTTTTGTCATTTGTCTTTCTTCTTTGAAGCAAAGTCTATTTGAGTCCTTTGCCTATTTTTCAGTTGACTTGTTTGGATTTTTTTTGGTTGTTTAGGAGTTCTTTATATGTCCTTCATATTAACTCCTTATCAGATACATGATTTGCAAATATTTTCTCCTATTCCGTAGGGTGCCTTTTCACTTTATTGTTTGTGTCCTTATAACCCTGTTTATTACTGCAAAGTAGGTAGTTATGTCCCCTCTTTTATTCCTAATTTGAGTATTTGAGTCCTTTCTTTATTCTTGGTTACTCTAGGTAAAGGTTTTTCAGTTTTGTTGAGTTTTTTGAAAGAAACTTTGTTGATTTTCTCTATTGTTTTCCTATTCTCTGTATAATTTATTTGTGCTCTTATTTTTCATTTCTTTCCTTCTTTTTGCTCTGGTTTAGTTTGTTCTTCTTTGCCTAGTTTGTTAAGGTGGACGTTAGGTTACTGATTTCAGATCTCTGAAATCTACTGCATCTTTTAATGCAGGCATTTGTAGCCATAAATTCTCTCTAAGCATTTTTAAGGTTAAGTATTTATATACCACAGTTAGACATTGAACTCCAAGGGAGAGTACAGATTTTTATTGAATATTAATTAACATTTTCTTAAAATTTCTTGTTAGGGAAAGATTTGTCACTTTCGATTGACAGCAAGATTGAAGCAAGGCACAGTAGCAAGGGCGTAGAGCTGAAACTGGGATTGTGACTTATGATTCAAGCTCTGCCACCAGCCAGTAGATGGTACAAGTTAATAACCTTTGTTTCTCAATTTCTTCATGTGGTCATTTGGAATATATTAGGAAATTTTTTATATGTGGTTGAGGTAATGTGAATAGATATTTTTTAAGAATACTCATGTTCATTTAAATTCATGTTTTATATTGACTAATTGCTCCTTTTTTTCTAAAGTATCATTGATATACAATCTTGCATTGGTTTCAAATGTATAACCCTCTGGTTCAACAGTTACCCAAATTGTTAAATCTTCACCCCACTCTAGTGCAGTTACTATTTATCAACATAGAAAGATGTTACAGAATCATTGACTGTATTCTCCATGCTGTACTAACATCCCTGTGACCAACTTATATTGTGATTGCAAATTATTGTGCCCCTTTATCATCCCCCTTCCCTAAATCTGTCCCACACCCTCCTCCCTTGGTAACCACTAGCACTTCTCAGTGTCTCTGAGTCTACTGCTGTTTTGTTCCTTCTGTTTTGCTTTGTTTTTATATTCCACAAATAAGTGAAATCGTATGGTATTTGTCTTTTTCCACCTGGCTTATTTCACTGAGCATAATACTTTCTAAATCCATTCATGTTGTTGCAAATGGGAGGGTTTGTTTTCTTTTTATGGCTGAGTAATATTCCATTGTGTATAGTACTACATCTTTATCCTTATCTGTTAATGGACCCTTAAGGTTGTTCCCACAGCTTGGCTATTGCAAATAGTGTAGCAATAAATGTAGGGGTGCATATATCTTTTTGAATCAGGGAGTTTTGTTGTTGTTGTTGGGGTAAATTCCTAGAAGAGGAATTACTGTATCAAATGATATGTCTCATTTCAGTTTTTTGAGGAACCTCCGTACTGCTTTCCACAGTGGTTACACCAATTTACACTACCACCAACAGTATAGGAGGGTTCCCATTTCTCTGCATCCTTGACAACAGTTGTTATTTCTTGTCTTTTGATAGTGGCCATCCTAATTGGTGTGAGGTAGTTGTGGTTTTAATTTGCATTCCCTGATGATTAGTGATGCGCAGCATCTTTTCAAGTGCCTGTTCGCCATCTCTGTTTTTTTCTCTGGAGAAATGTCTGTTCAGATCCTCTGCCCATTTTTTAATTGGGCTATTCGGTTTTTTTTCTCATTTAGTCAAGATATTTTAATGTAAGACTAGTTAATTTTCCTCCAGGTATTTTAAGTTACATTTTTTTTTGGTATCATTAATCTATAATTACATGAGGAACATTATGTTTACTAGACTGCCCCCATCACCAAGTCCCCCCCACATACCCCATTACAGTCACTGTCCATCAGCATAGTAAGATGCTGTAGAATCACTGCTTGTCTTCTCTGTGTTGCACAGCCCTCCCTGTGCCCCCCTCCATTATACATGCTAATCATAATGCCCCCTTTCTTCCCCCCACCCCCTTATCCCTCCCTTCCCACCCATCCTCCTTAGTCCCT